TATCCTTCCCTTAAAGATAAGAACAGTTCGTAAAAAAACAAGCTTAGAAATCAGTTATCAAATGACAACAGTGAGCAGATTTCCTCACCAAGAATGCGAAGAAATTCAAGAACTGGAGCTACAAGAGATGGCTTCTTACTGACTTCCTCGTCGATAAATTTAACAATTTCCTAAAATGATGCATATCCATTCAATTCTTTCCGTATGCTCGAAAATATTAACTATGCAGTTTGCTGTAAACAACAAAAGCTTACTTCACGTGAACGGCGATCGATGGCGTCAAATTTTGACTGAGTTTGAAGACTAGCATTGATGGCTTCAATTTTTTCCCTTGCGTCGTTTTCTGCGAGCGATGACAGTGACTGGATAGAGCCAACATCGACAGATGCACCCATGTTCACAGCTGACAAACGACTGTGAAGCGAAAAAGTTTCAAATGCACACTAGTGAAACATCTGAAAGTGAAATGACCGATGCATGTAGAATAATTAACGACAAAAAGCCTCGAAAACACTGCGGATGAAAACCGGTTGGTGAAAAAAATCAAAGCAAAGAAGTCACAGTTTATTCCACTACCAACTAATGACTACACATTTTCCATTCTCTTCTACTTCGTTCTATACACTTCAGGCTTAGCAGGGGCTGCTTCGGCCTTCACTTGCGGTAACACATCAGGCTTCTTGTTTGAAGGTTGCGGAAGACGAAATTTTTGCAATTCAAGCTAAAAGGAAAATTTTATTGCCACATGATCCGACAGAGTCTTATTACCTCAGCTTGATAATATGTGTACTTATCGTTATTCAAATAGTTTTGCACCTTGTATAACTTCCAGTCCGGTTTCTTCCCTGAGCAGATTTAAGAGTATAAATGACTAATGATATTATGTCTAAAACAAAAAGCGGTACTATTCCACATCAGTCGACCCCAAAAAATGGAAATCGTGAATTTTGCTAAAACTTCGCTTAGGGGGTTGGTACGTTGAATAGGAATATGATGTTTATTTCGCGCGGCAGCGCCATCCTATGGAGTTACGATAGGGTTACGGTATGGGCTAAACCGGGGATTTGCCTGAAAGTTTACCGTAACTTAACTCCACCGGATTGGCGTTACCGTGCGAAATATACATCATATTCGTATTTAGCGTACCAAATAACCGCTCCAGACGAAGTTTTAGTAAAACACGATTTTCATTTTTTGCGTCAACTAATGTGGGACAGCGTCCAAAAAGCAGTACCTCCGAGTTTGGCAAATTCCTCTGCATGTTCAATTCCTGTGCTTGCCTTGGGAGCTGCAGAAGCAAAACCACGTGAAAGCCGTTGAACTACTTGCAATCGGTTCATACCTAAAAATTTGACAACTATTCAGAATACATCGTTTGAACCAAACAGTGACCGATAACTGGAACCATGGAACGACATTTATCAAAAGAAATCAAACTCAAAAACAGCTGTTTTGTTAAAGCAATCGCCCAATGAAATATGTGCAACAGGGAA